TAACACATGAGCAACCACAGAACAGGGGTCCAGGAAAAAAAATCCAACCACTTTTGTAGAGGGGCTCAAAGAGGGCCTTATAAAATGTACTAACATAGTCCCTAGCTGACACTCCTGAAGAGCAGGTCCTACTTGGTACCCATTTTGTCAGCCTACCCTAGACATCTGGAGGAAGTTCCAGAGACTGGCCACAGGCCCCAGCCTCCCATGAATCAGATGCTAGATAGAGCATTTGGGGTGTTTTGTAACAGAGACAAGGCTGAAGAGAAAAAGGTGCTCCAACTTGAGGAACAAAACAGGCTCATATGACAGCAGTTGCTATAACCAGCACCTTGCAACCTCAGGGCCAACCCATGAAGCATCCAACTGTGGCAGAATAGCCCAAGAGAGAATGTTCTTGGGTGTGGAAAACTGGGACACTGGCACAAGGAATGTCCCCCACCTCAAAAGCCCATCTGGCCTCTGGCCTCAATACAAACAACAGGGGTACTAGAAGAGGAATTGCTCTCAGCTCCAAACGGAGAGGAGGTCTCCCAGGCCCCTCATACCCTTATCTGAGGCCTGATGGGGCCCAGGGACTCACACAGCTCCCATAACCCATATGACCATCATGCTCCTGGAGCCCCAGGAGACTCTGGGTACTGCAAGGAAGAATACTGATGTTCTAATTGATGGGAACTTCTAAAAGTGAGTGTTTTACTCCAAAAGTCATAAAAAAACAATCTCCCAAGACAGTTAGTTTTGTTACAAACTTGGAGAGAGGAATCCCCTTCTGACCAGTTGCAGTACAAATAAAAAGCACCCTTTTGGGTGCTACTTAGCACTGCTACTGCAGTTAAATTACATGGAATTTCTAGCCGGGTACCTCTGTTAAGAATTAAACCTCTACACCTTGAATCTTCACAGGCACACCCAGAGGATATTTCTGCCTGTTCTTGTGAACCAACTGAGGACCCCAAGTTTCTCTTCAAATGGATACTTACATGTTGGGTAAAGCCAGTGTCTGTGTGCAGAAGAGAGACTGCACTGCTCCACTCAAATCTCCCTGACAGTCTGGCTGCTGCTGCCGGCTTGCAACTTTTCTGAGAATTAGTCTTGGACAGCAGGAGCTGCCCACATCCAGGATTATCTTCCCTCCCTGGGCCAGGCTATGTCAATGACTGGTTGATTTCTGAATGCAAAAGCCCCTTTGATCCATTCAGGATAACTGTGAGAGCCATCCCAGCTCCACAGTGTTCTATGTAATCAGCTGAGGCCTCTGGCCAACAACTCCCTCTGCACAGCCCTGCTTCCCTACATGACTTCCGGTGTGAAAATCTTCACCTCTGAATCTGTTTCCCTGGGAACCCGGCCTATGCATACACTTTTCCAGGACACTTTCCACAAGATGGGGAAACGGGACACTTTGTGTCACACTCACCTGGTTCTCGATCATTTTTTGCTGTTCTTGGAAATAGAGCTGAGGCCTGTGACAGTAGAGACTGGAAGGAGGACAGAGAAAGAGAACAGAAAACACAGCGTGAGGGTCTAGGCCTTGTCTTGGATCTTCCAAATCCCCTATGGAATCCCATATGGATTTCCCTCTGGAAATCTTACACACAAATCCATGGTTTCAGTCACTATGGCAGAACAAATAAGGGTGCCATTCAACTCAGAACATGGATACATAAAACCAGTCTTTCAGGAAATCAAAGATGCTACCAAGGAATAACAAAGTTTTAAACACTAAGCATCCTTAACACTCAAACAACTGGAACTAAGTCTATACCAGACAGGGTATACACTTAGGAAATTATTACAAAGAACACAACACAAAGTAAAATAAGTATACAACACTGGCAGAATATATAAAAGATATGATCACAAATAATAACTAGAGGTCTAAATTTTATTATCCATCCAGTAGATTATTGAATATTGTCATTAAAAAATAATTTTCAACAGATAAGAATCACTATGTTACCTTTAATCAGGATGTTTAAGAAATAGCTGGCTTAACAAACTATAAAAGAAAAAGGGCAATCAGTTTAAGCATGTAAATATTTCATGAAAAGTTGAAGATTTAACTACATTAAAATTAGTTAACTATTTTTAAAATAGTTAACTGGCATTGTGGCATAGTGGGAAAAGCCACTGCCACTTCCTGTGGCACTGGCATCCCATATGGGCACTGGTTCAAGTCCTGGATGCTCCACTTCCAATCCAGCACCCTGCTGCACCTGGGAAAGCAGCAGAGGATGGTGTTGGGCCCCTGTATCCACATGGGAAAAGAAGCTCCTGGCTCCTGGCTTCTTTTGGGCATTTGGGGAATGAACTAGCAGATGGAAGACCTCTCTCTCTCTCTCTCTCTCTCTCTTTCTCTCAATTTCTCTGTAATTCTGACTTACAAATAAAACAAATATTTACAAAATACAATTATGTCACTTGTGGCTTTCTCACTGAAGTGGCCTGGGGCAATGTTACCCCATCTAGAAAAGTCTACCATCTCCTGCAGTACCTGGATGACAATTTCTACCACAAATGTTCACTAAAAAGAACTGGAGCTCCTTGGAAAATGGCTGAGTCCACATCTGGAGCAAAAAATACAAAGTATATAGCTCCATATTCTTCAGAGTGCCAGAAAGCAAGGACACTTCTCCAGAGGATGGGTCTTGGCAAGGAGGTATAGGAGCAAACCTTGAGGGGCTCCAACCAGGCAAGAAAGAATGTTAAGAAAAAAAAAAAAAAACTGCCATAGCTACAAAAGCTAACGAAATTAATAAATCCTTCATGGCCCAACAGTTCTTTTTCATTGTATATGTCCACAAAATTTTAGCCTGTAAAAACTCAATTTATACTAATATTTAAAAATCACAACAAAAAGGATCATAAATAAAAGAAGGAAAATAAAAAAAAAAGAAAGAGAAAAAAATCACGGAAACAGACATAGTCTGAAATCGTCAGCTTCATCTCACAATGCTAACTCACCCTCAGCTGCAGCCCCTGGTAGAGCTTTCTGTAGACAGAACCTGTAGCTACAGGCCCTGTAGCTGACAGAGCTGGTAGGAACTGGAGAGCCCCACCTTCCAGCAAGGTAGCAGGATTCAAAAGTTCTCAGGGCACCCAAGGAACCTAAAGATGAGTAGATCCCATGGTGACTGTCACCCAGCAGCCCCTCTCCAAATACTCCCTTGGACCTCAGAGGCAAAGGCTATGTAGGAAACAGCTCAGGAATGGTTCCTCTCTGGTTTTAAAGTAGAGGGGAACTTCTGGAAAGACCCTGAGCCCAGGAGTGACTCAGACACAAGTTTGAAGCCAAGCAATTCTATTGAGGGAATCTGGGCCAAACACTGTACCTCTCTTGGCCTCTCTTCCTTACCATAAAAATAAAAAGAGGCTGCCTATTAGAGACCCAAGAGCCAGACAGTCTGGGTTCAAATGCAAGCTTTACCATTTATGACGTGTGGTGTTGGAGGAGTTTTTCAAGTTCTCTGTATGTTTCCCCATCATTTGTATTTTATTTTGCCCAATAAAGAAAGGTGTGTCCCTCATATATTTGATTATTTGCATATCTTTTGTAAACAATCTGTTTATGTGCCTAAACCTACATTTCTACTTAAGTGTCCATTTTCAGAAATTAATTTATAAGCACTCTTTTTTACACTGAAGTTATTAACTGTTTGTCATCTATATTATAAATAAATTTTTCATAGTTTGCCATTTGTCCTTAAGCCAGGTTTACTAATTTCAAAAAATGGAATTGAACCATTGAACTTTTTCATTTTTTTAAATTTATTTGACAGGTAGAGTTATAGATGATGAGAGAGAGAGAGACAGAGAGAAAGGTCTTCCTTCCGTTGGCTCACTCCCCAAATGGCCACCATGGCCAGCGCACTGCACCAATCCGAAGCCAGGAGCCAGGTGCCTCCTCCTGGTCTCCCATGCGGGTGCAGGGCCCAAGCACTTGAGCCATCCTCCACTGCCTTCCCCGGGCCACAGCAGTGAGCTGGACTGGAAGAGGAACAACTGGGACTAGAACCCGGCGCCCATATGGGATACCGGCACCACAGGTGGAGGATTAACCAAGTGAGCCAGGGCGCCGCCCCCCTCACTTTTTTTTTAATAGTCATCTTGTTGACCCTCCCCGCAATCCCCATTGTTTCTGCTTTTGGAAAAATTCTTAGGAAAGTCTTTTCCATAACAAGATTATGAAAAATGTTTTTCTTTTTGGCTTATAAGATTAGCAAAGATGAAAAACATATCTGCCACACTGCTGGTAGGAGGGTAAATTAAAACTTTCTGAAGGGTATTTATATCACAGTTTTAAGAGTGCACACCCTTTAAACCACCCTTCAACATCCAGTAATGTATCCTAAGGAACTAGCTGGTATAATGAAAAAGTACAACGATGTTCACTTATTTTAGTTTTGCTTACAAAACACCTGGAAGCCACCAAAATGTCCCAGCAATGAACGGAAGGTCTGGTTGACTTAAGTAATTTAATGTAAGTGAGTTTAGACATCATATAATAATGGAGGTATACTGACTGATTTGGAAGAGTATTTGTGATATAAATTACCATAGGAAATACAAGTTGTAACATGCAATATGAGAGCATGATTCCATTTTACAAATTACAGGAGGAGTTGTTTGGCACCGTAGTTAAGTTGTCATGTCGGACACTGGCATTCCCATATCATTGTACCTGATTCAAGTCCTGGCTACTCTGCTTCTGATACAGCTTCCTGAGATGGTGGCTTGAATACTTGGGCCTCTGCCACCTATGTGGGAGACCCAGACTGAGTTCCAGGCTCCTGGCTTCTGCCTGGCCTACCCCTAACTGTTGCAGGCATTTAGGAAGTGATTCAGAGAGCAGATCTCTCTGTCTCAATGCCTTTCAAATAAAATGAAAATAAATAAATTTTATAAATTATGTAAACCTAAAATCTATGAAAATATTGACAACTATTTTCTCTAATTTTTTTTTTTTTTTTTTTTTTTTTTTTTTTTTTTTTTTACAGGCAGAGTGGACAGTGAGAGAAAGAGACAGAGAGAAAGGTCTTCCTTTGCCGTTGGTTCACCCTCCAATGGCCGCTGCGGCCGGCGCACCGCGCTGATCCGATGGCAGGAGGCAGGTGCTTCTCCTGGTTTCCCATGGGGTGCAGGGCCCAAGCACTTGGGCCATCCTCCACTGCACTCGCTGGCCACAGCAGAGAGCTGGCCTGGAAGAGGGGCAACCAGGACAGAATCCGGCGCCCCGACCGGGACTAGAACCCAGTGTGCCGGCGCCGCAAGGCGGAGGAGCCTAGTGAGCCGCGGCGCCGGCTTGCTATTTTCCCTAAACAAAGAGATTAAAAAGAAATTTAAATTTCCCTTAGTGATGTTTTGATTTTCTGCCTCTTCCAATATCCTCATGATTACATATTTACTTGAACAACAGCAACAATAATAAAACTAATAATGATAAATAGAAACAAGCATGTTTCATGCAACCAAGCAAGTGGTTCTTGGAAAATAGCAAATAAAACTATGAAACATCATAGAAACTGAAAAGATAGATGGAAAAAAAAATCAACAATTGAGTTTGTATATATTAAGTCGTGAGTGCAAGTGGGCACAAGGCTGAGCTACTTCCTTGTATTGACTTATGAAATCCCCACACAGCCCTCTAGTACCACTCCATTCACAGACAAGGAATCCTGGAGAGGTGACGAAACTATTGTAGGGTAACCCTGACATTCAGAGTTGTTTAGACTGGCTTTGGCTTTCATAGTTTTAACTTTTCAGTCTTGCTACCTCAGGTAAAAGCGTTTTCCAAACACTCTCAGTGTGCTCTTCCAGCCAAATCTTTTCTATTTTCAGTTCAGATACTTACTCAGTAGACTCTTGGCTTTCCAACCACAGGCAAGGTCACATCCATCTCAGTTGCCATGGAATCGGAGTCACAAACCAGGCTCACTCTTGATACATACTGTGACAGATGAGCAAGTCAACGACTCTGCCAGAAAGAACCGTAAGGAAAATATTAGGAGAAATACAGATTAGATTCCTGACCAGAGCAATCGAAGCCAAATCTTTACTATGCATTGTTAGAGAAATTTAGTGCTTAGTGCTTTGAAAGTATTTTCAATATTGTGGAGAAAATTAAAAAGACAAGTATTTCAAAGGAGTTCTGAGGTAGGCCTTGGACAAGAGGGACTGAACACGTGCCTGTTGGCTGTGTAAAATGTGTTTCCCTTAACGCAGGGTTGTAGCATCAAGTCCTTGACTCTGTCATCCCCAACCTCTGAATTTCAAAAGTTTCCTCAACACCAACCCCCATAAGCCTCCTAAGCATAGAATTTTATGGTGTCCCCCAACCCCAGGCCTCTGATCTCCAACCCGGAGGTTCTCACAGACACTAATACCCCCATATGTTCAAACCTGACTTCTGTTTAGTGACTACAAAGCTCAATGATCCTATCTGATTGCCAAACAGTGATTCAGATAGGTCCCACTCTCTCTCTCCCTCACACACACACACATTTCCAATGTTATTCTAATCCCTGGGGTTCGATTGCTGGCCAACTCAATCTCATCTCTCCCCCCACAACTGGCAGTCCCAACCTCTAACTGCCACTGATCCCTCCATTCCCTGTTCCCTGATCTATGGAAGTCCAATCATTAATTCAGTCGTCGACTATCTTAAGTAAATCCCAAACAGTAACGGCCCACAGCATTTCTCCAAAACATTGATTCCCAGTGACCCTCTCTCATCACTGAACCCCAGAGCTTCTGCAATCACGAATTCCAGTCACCAAACTTTTATTATCCACAGAACTTAGAACGTCTCATCACTGACCCTCTAAGGCTTCCAGTCACGGAGCCCTAATGCTCTCCAAATCAATGCCTTCCACGAAATCCACTTGACTGCAGAATCACGAAGCTCCCAACGCATCCTGCCAATCAAGACGTCTGCTGGAACACTCATTTAGTAATTCCTGCATACTCCAAGTTCATCTTCAAAGAGATCTGCCACTGACTCCCACAAACCTCCGCCCACCACCGCGGAACGCAACCGACACTCAAACGCCCCATCACTTAACCCTTCCGTTCCCTCGGACTGACCCCTACAGGTACCCATAACTGACCCAGTTGGGCCACCGTAGTCTTCCACTCACCATCATACACAGCTCTCTGCCTGTTCTTTAAGCTAACAGATCTCTTTTATCCTGGGTCCGCGCTCTTAACCAGAAATGGATGGCTACACCACACCTCCTCACCGCGGTATAAGGTCTTCTCATTCTGAGTGGCCGTTGCGCAGGCTCAGTCGCGACTTGGAGGCTGTCGGCCGCTACCTGGCAACCTTTCGGAGAACAGGATTCTGGGTTTCAGAGCTTTGATGGCCGCACCCGTTTGACAAGTTCAGGCTGGGAGCGGCCATGTTTAAATTCTTGCCGTACAACGAGCCGCTGAGCCCTTGGCTAGCTATCTTACGGTAGGGAGAAACGAGTGCCCCTGGATCCCTAGACAGAAGTGTCATCGCTACTCCTACTCAGCTTACACTCCCAAACCTCCTGTCACCAAGGTGGAGGCGCGCGGACCTCGAAGCTGTGTTTTCTTTGTCTCCAGCAGTCCAGAGAGAAACAAGATGGCCGCGTACGTTTTTACCGCTTCTTACGTGACAGGGTGCGGCCATCTCCGAGGAGACGCTTCCAATATGGCTTGCTAAAACTTTCTAGGCCAGCTCTGGGAGGTGAGGAGCCGCCAGCTTACTCGGTCCTCTTGCGGGGAACCTGCGGCGGCCTGAGGACGGGGCGTGACTTTCACGGAGAGGGCGGGGCTACGAGGAAAGGGCGGGGACGCCGGAGGGGAGAGTAAGGTTTTCTTGGGTGATTATTGATATAAAGAAAATATTGAAAGCAAGGTCTTTATGTTCACCAGAAGCAGACCCTCGTGTCTATCCGTGAGTGCAGGTAGTTTTTTTGGCAGATAGAGATGGGAAAGTGAGAAAGGGGTGGGATAGAAACCAGCACCCAATACTTCAATGAACACATTACCCCTGGGAGTTTGTAGAAACCATCTCCACGTTACCCCACCTAACGGCCGATGAAGCTGGATATTTATATCCCAGTTCACCCTCTTCGTTGTTTACGAACTATTCCAGAGATGTTAAAACACTAGCATTGGGGCTGTCTGCACCTGGCTGCTCCACTTCCAATCCAGCTCCCTGCTATGTATGGCCCCTGCACCGACATGGGAGACCCGGAAGAAGCTCCTGGCTTCAGATCAGCGCAGTTCCGGCCGTTGTGGCCATCTGGGGAGTGCACCAGAAGGTGGAAGATACACCACACACACACCCTTTTCTCTCTCTGCCTCTGCCTCTCTGTAACTCTAACTTTCAAATAAATAAATAAATCTTAAACAGACCAGCCAACATTTCCAGTCTGCCTGGCAGGCAGTTCTGAGGCAGTCTGTAAATAAGAAACCAGTAGTCTACCTAGGGGAATGGTGAGTGCCCAGAGGAAGAGGAAGTGAGGGGATCCCAGGTACTGACAGCATTAGCTAGCCTTGTCTTGAATAAAACCTAAAGCAGTGCTCTGCCCATCACAGGCATGGGAACTTCTCTAGGGGCAGGGAAGGAGAGAGAAGCAAGGTGTCTCTTTTGTGCATGTGTGCATATTTATGGGGCACATATGACCAGCGTTACACAGGGAAAAACAAAGAACTGCTAGCCGCGGGGCATCTAGAAATGATTGCTTATGAAAATAGCTCTTTTTAATTTTTTTAAAAGATTTCTTTATTTGGAAGGCAGAGTTAGAGAGGGAGAGACACATTTTCCAACTGCTGGTTCACTCCCCAAATGGCCACAATGTCCAGGACTGGGCCAGGCCAAAGCCAGGAGCCTGGAACTCCAACCTGGTCTCCCACGAGGGTGGTGAGGGGCCAAGCACTTTTGGGCCATCTTCTGCTTTCCCAAGCACATTCAGGGAGCTGGATCAGAAGTGGAGCTGCTGGGACCTGAACTGGTGCTTACATAGGATGCCAGCATTGTAGATTTATGATCTAGCAGTTGAACCCAATGCACCACATGCTGGCCTGGATTCCAACTGGTTATCATAGTTCCTGGTGTAATAACTGGCCTTGAAAATGATTCAGGCTCCTGGCTTCGGCCTGGCCCAGCCCTGGCTCTTGTGGCCATCAGAGGAATGAACAGTAGATGGAAGACATCTCTCCTTCTCTCTCTCCCTCTTTCTCCACAACTTTACCTTTCAAATAAATAAATAAATCTTGAAAAGAAAAAGCAATTGTTCCCAATGACTTCCTAGTATTCCTACTTGCTAGCATTCACACTCTTGTGTGTTGGTCTGTGAGACTAATAGAATGCAGAAGTGATGGCATGTCACTGAGATTAGGTTATAAAAGTCACTGCAGTTTGAAAGCTCCTCCACCCCAATAACTTACTCCAGGAGTAGTGGCTACATCATGAGGACACTAGCTAGCCCATTGGAGAGGCCCAGGTAGCAAGGAACTCTGGGCTTCAGCCGACAGCCTGGGAGCAACTGTGGCCTTCCTATAACCAAGTGGGTTGACTTGGAAGCAGATTTCCCAGCCCCAGTCAAACCTTGCAATGCACACATCTCTGTCAGCCCCCTTACTCTTCACCCTTTATAAAGTGTGTGAGATACTGAATAAAGTTTGTTGTGTTTAGCTGCTGCGTTTGTTCTGCATAAACAGATGGCTTCAGTGCTGTGGTAAAGATGCTTTTAATTGACATTTCTGAATTCCCAAACAGGTTCCTAACGTGTGAGGTTGTTCTGTCAGATCATATCGGATTATTAGCAGTTTCTTTTTCTTTCACATGTTGGGAGAAGTAAAGGCCTATAGCTCCGCTAGATTTTTGAAATTTGAAAGAGTTGAAGAGTCTTGCTTCATCTGAATCAATACAAGTGCTTCATGAAGTGCTTTGAAGTATTATAGTAATTAATACAAATGACCAATTATATAGAGAGAGTCTGTTACATGCCTGGCTTGTTCTTTTTTTAAAAAAATTTATTTTATTTATTTGAAAGACAGAGTTACAGAGAGAGGTAGAGACAGTGATAGAGGTCTTCTATCTGCTGGTTCACTCCCCAGATGGCAACAACAGCCAGAGCTGCACCCATCCAAAGCCAGGAGCCAGGAGCTTCCTCCGGGTCTCCCATGTGGGTGCAGGGGCGCAAGCCCTTGGGCCATTTTCTACTGCTTTCCCAGGCAATAGCGGAGAGCTGGATCGGAAGAGGAGCAGCCAGGACTAGAACCAGCGCCCATATGAGATGCTGGTGCTTTAGGCCAGGGCTTTACCCTGTTGCACCATAGCGCTGGCCCCAACCTGGCTTGTTCTTACTCTATGACTAGACTGGTGAGGAAGCC